ACAGTAACTATGGAATCCTTAGTTTGTTTGACCTGCTGACACTCAGCTTTCTACCTTCCTCTGGCTTCCATGGCTGCATCTCTAATTTTTTCTTTTATCTGTCATAGTCCAGTTTTACTGGGATTTAGTAAGTGCTCAATAAATATTTGTTGAATCAATGAATGGATGTATGTGATTTCCTGTATCCAAGAGAAGGCAGAAAAAAAAGTGAAAATAGGTATTTTGCATTGTTCTCAGTAAACCACCAAAAAATCTAACAATCTCCATCTGTTGATAATGATATTGTTTATCCTGTCAATTTTTTCTCTCACTTCTTTATTCTTTTTGTTCTTAAAGCTCAATGCAAATACCATTTCTTCCATGAAACCACTCTATATTCCCCCATTCCATTAGAATTAATCCTACTTTTACTTCTAGTTGCTATGTGGACATGTAGTTCTATTTATATTTCTATTTACTATGCTCCAAATGGTTCCTTATATAATAGGTGTTTACAGTTTTTCACTCCACGAAGTTGGAAATGCCCAAAACACAGAAACCCTATTCCTCTTCATATTGCTCTCAGATAATGCTGGAAAGATATATGTACTTAATAACTGCTGAATTGAATATCACAGAATTCCTTAAAACATATTTATAAATCATTTAGGCACATTAGTTCCAATATTTTATATGCTCAGATAACTTAAAGTGACAGTCATTTTTTTTCTATTTAATAGATTCAATACTTTACGGAAATTGTCAAAGTTGCAGACTTGGTAGCTGTGGACTTTACTTCTTTTTAGCAAATAATTCACCTGATTTTATTTAGTTACTATGTTAAATGCACCAACTTATATGAATAACATGAGATGCATTTGTGTGAATTGTGTTTAAAATGATGTTTCATTTTGAGCATGATACTTTTTCTTCTGAACTTCACCAACATTTTAAAACACATTTTATTTTATTTGCCTTTACTTTCCTTAGGAATTGAATACTACCAATAGAGACCAAGAGGCTTTAAAATAACACTTTTAAATAAAAACTCGACGTAAGTGCCTGTGATTGGGATCAACAGCCACACTCACAGATTGGCCTGGACCTAAAAAGTTTAAGCCATGCCTTTAAAATGTGCCAGAAAAACATTTTATTATCTTTTGTGTAATTCCTTCTCTAATCTTTTTTTTCTATGATATTTACAAAAGACAAATTTCAACTAAAGAAAGTAAGTGGAAATGTTACATGTTACTTCTTGAGTCTCCCACACATAGATTGTAACTGATTTCTGTAAAGTAACAAAAAAGGATATCTCCACACTAGAGTATCACACACATACTGTTGAAGATCATATGCATTCCTAGTAGATGGCACTGTGTTGTGGTAAGTGTGCTGAAGGGAAAAGAGAAAATCTGGAACCTGGGAGCTGTTGGTACCTTGGTAAAGTGGTAGTGGGAGATGAAGGTACAGGGGAGACTCTTGAAACATGGGTTGGGGATGACAGGTGAGGGAAAAATCAGTGACATCTGAATGGCCTAAATCCCTCCGTCAAACCTTAACACCGATTCCCTTGATACAGTCCCTTCTCTTGGAAATAAAGCAAGAATTGAGGTAAGTCTATGATCAATAGGGTTCAGAATCTTAGGTTGAGGAAATAGACCAGATGAAATCTAATGGCTTAGGTCCATAATGTATATCACTCCTTAGGGAACGATGAAAGGCACTGAATTCTAACAGGTAGAGTAGACCAGGAAGAAGTACTGGCTTTGAAGATATACATTCAAGTACCAGCTCTGGCACTCATGAGCTTTGAGGCCATGTCCAAGTCACCTGTCCTCCCTGAGTCCTTGTTTCTTCAGTAAATGAATCAATATGCTAGCATTGTGAGGATTCAATCACATAGCACAGCTGGAATTGGCTAGTATATCTACAACATAAGAGCCCAAAGGACTGAGTTTAATTTGAATGGCAAAAACTGTAATTTTTCCATTTCTCTTTTGGAAAGTGCCAGACCTACGGTGTTATTACAGAAGGTTTTGTCCTATTTGGTCCCACCTATGCCCCAACACAGTGTTCAGTTTCCACCCAAATATATAGAATTTTATGCTCTAATTTTATTCTTTATTTCTGTTAAGAAAATAACCATATTTGTCAGGTAATGGTCTTTAATTTCTGTTCTGGCAATTTCCTTAAAAGCATAATGCCATAAATTATATAAAGCCTTACATAAAGGACAAAGGCCCACGGCATGTTGTCTAGTTGTCCAGTCGGTATATCCTACACTGAGGCAACGTAGAAGTTCTTCGATGTTAAGGATCACATTTTGTTACCCAAGGTAGCGTGCAGCACACTGTGAAGCCCCAGTGTTCCCACTAAATTATTCTTTCCCTCCCTGAAGCCCACTACTCTTATAAATGCTTGCTGTGTCTGTTACCACTATTTACTAGAGATCCAAACCAGAAGCCAAAGAATCATTCTTGCCTTCTTTTCATCTGCCCCACGCATTTAACCACGAAGATCTATCTGTTTTACTGCCTCATCAACTTTAGAATCTTCCCTCCTTCTTACTGCTTTAAACCTAGTAATATTACTCATTATCTCTCAACAGAACACAGAAAAACTTCCCAGCTTCTCATTGGTTCTTTCTGCTATTCAATCCCAGCTTTATACTATAGTCAAAATGATCTCTTTATATGGAAGATATAATATTGACACTCCCTTATCTGAAAAGCTCTATTAGTTACCCCATTCACTAGTGAAAAAATAATTGAAATCCCAGATTATTTTTAGGGTTACTATCCCTTGGTTCTTGCTGTCCTCCTTTTTCTCAAATTTTAGGCCCCAATAACACCAAGCAGATTTTAGTTCCCAAGGCACACACCATGCTATTTAACCTTGCTGTGCTTTTGCAAGCTTTTAACTCTTGCTTAAATTTCCTTACCTAGTTTCTTCTTCTTTTTTTTAAATTCCAGTTTTTTAATTTAAATTCCAGTTAGTTAACAGACAGTATAATATTAGTTTCAGGTGTACAATATAGTGATTCAACATTTTTATATAACACCCAGTGCTCATCACAAGTGCCCTCCTTAATCCCCATCATCTATTTAACACATCCCTCCACCCACCTCCCCTCAGGTAACCATCAGATCCTTCGCTAGAGTTAAGAATCTGTTTCTTGGTTTCCCTCTCTCTTTCTCTCTCTTTTTTTCTTTTGCTCATTTGTTTTGTTTCTTAAATTCTACATGAGTGAAATCTTATGGTATTTGTCTTTCCTGACTGAATTATTTCGCTTAGCATAATACTCTCTAGCTCCAAGAATTCATTCTTTTTTATGGCTGAGTAATAGTGCATTGTATATATATGCCACTTCTCCTTTTATCCATTCATCAGTTGATGGATACCTGGGCTATTTCCTACCTACTTTCTTCTTTTATTTCTTAATCTTTCAGGCTCAACTCAGAGGCTTTCTCTTTTAGGAAAATGTTTGCAAATCCCTAGAATCAGCTAAGTCTCTTTTGTTCTCTCATAGAATCCTATGTTTACTGTGATTTCACTGCTTGTCACACTGCACTGACATGGTTTCTTCATCTGTCAGGGTCTCACACAGTACTGACAATATTTTGAAGATGAAGGGCATCTCTCACCTAACTCTTCTACATCAGAGATGCTTAGTTCTTGCTACCTAGATTCCTGGAACCACCCAAGTTTCAATTTTGTTTTCCACCTATCTCTTTAATTCATTGGACCATCTCAGAACCCTCCAATAACTTATCCTTTCGAAATAAGAAAGCCAGAGTCAGCTTCTGACACTCTGAACCAAAGCACCCCACTTATCATTTTGTGCATTTGAATTTTTAAAAATTCAGAACATAATTATTTTTATACTTCCAAAGTAGTTCCTACTACTCCTCAGAATAAATGGTAGCCTCTAAAATATTTTGTTATTCGATACTGGCATACACACAAAAATATATTATAAATATACATGTACACATATGCATATAAATATCAAAGGCTACAGTGTCTCTTCATTAGTAAAATATCTCCACCCAGCAAAATGTTTCTCTTAATGTAAGGTACTTTGTTTTGTTCCCTATCATATCTCAGCACCCTTACAAATACTTGTAACATACTAAGTCTTTAATAATATATGTTTAATGATAGAATAGATGAATAAATGAATTAGGTAAGTGATTTACTTTTCTTACAGAATTAAAAATATTGACTCTGAGGTAGAAAGATTGCATTTGCCAATATTGCTCAAGAAATAAAATTTATTTTCTAGATGATCCTTAGCTTTATAAATTCTAATCAAACACGACTAACTGACTTTAAATCTTGATGTATTTTGCCAAGATCAGTTTCAGAGTCTGAAACTTAGGTATTAACCTCAAGCCTTGAGTCTTCCCGAGGAAATCTGTACCTATAACCCAGCTGACAACTGGTGCATGATCAAACTGGATAGAGGTTTTCATTACCTGATTCCTTTTTATATTCTCAGCTATCATGAAAACTTGAGTCAGTAGTTATTACAAATAACCCTTTGGGTGGGTTTTATTTTGCTCCTCATGCAATGGCTTTTCAACTGTGACAGACTGTTCTTAATGGGAATGACTTAAAATGGAGTGGCTTTCATGCACTTTTTCAGCAGTAAAGTTTTTTGTTTCTTCTTTTCCATAGTCAGAAAAACTCAGCATTTAATTCCAGAGGGACATAAGATGATTATTCACTTTCATTAGTTAAGCATCACAAAAATTAATTCTATCTAGCCTGAACAAAATGTATGTATATGTATGTATACACAGACACACATACACACACACCCCTCAAATGTGGTAGATGTGAATCACAACCAGCAGAAATATAGCACATGCAAAGACATGAAAGCAAGAAGGCAATTTTGAGAGGAAATAAGAGGAAATGGAGCTATAAGTATTGTTCTAGAATGAACAGATTTCTCTCAGATTTTGTATAAAAATATGTCGTTTGTGTTCTTTTGAAACTAAGTCTATTCAACTCACCTTCATATAACCAGTCAGCAATCCCATTAAAGATAATTCCTTCTTTTCCAGAAGATGTCAGTCGCAATGAACTGCTCTTTATATCAGGTTGATAGTAGATATTATTTTCAAAAATATAAATCTGGATCCAGAAACATAAAAAACAAACCAAAAAATGCAACATATTAGGAAGCTTTTTAAAATACCTTCATACTGTAGAATAATAGCTGAAGAGCTAAGTGTTGTATTATTTGCCTGCTTTCAGTTTGTGTTTATTTAATACATACATCTGCACTGCTTTCAATTATTAATGGCAGTTTCCTTCCTTATCACATCAATAGCAAATTGTCATTTAGAAATTACACAGTACCGGTACTGAAGCACGTAAATCCATACTTTCAACAACAATTTTTCATCTATTTAATCTCTTTTATACCACAAAATTGATTTGGGTTTGAGATAACACTTTGCATACTTAAGGAACTGATAAACTATAATAGATGCCATTTTAGTAATAGCCAACTACTTAAAAGCTTCAATTTGGGGTCTTTAACTTTTACAAAAATGGATTTGATTATCAATAAAATAAGCTCTAGTGAATCTTTTTTTTAAAGGTTGTATTTATTCATTTGACAGAGAGAATGAGTGAGTGAGCGAGAGAGAGAGAGCACAAGCAGGGGGAGCAGCAGGCAGAGGGGGAGGGAGAAGCAGGCTCCCCGCTGAGCAGGGAGCCCGAAGCAGGGCTCGATCTCAGGACTCGGGGATCATGACCTGAGCCAAAGGCAGATGCCCAACCAACTGAGCCACGCAGGTGCCCCTCTAGAGAATCTTTCTAATTCCATCCAGCTTGACTCACAAATACCCTGATGAAAGCGTGGCAAAATTCCTTTGAACTGATAAATGGGACACACCCTGCTATGCCCTACTCTTTGCTGGCAATTCTTTCCTAAATAGCACGTTATTAATAATGACCATGTGCTTCAGGGTTCAGGAGAGAGTTTTAATTTGAACATCACAAAGTCTTCCAAAATAATATCATCATCAACAACAACAGCCCTGCAACAGGAACAACAATAGAAATTAAACAGGGTCTGTCCACACAAAATATAATTCAGGATAAAATTATCGATAATCCACGTTCAAATATTTTTAATGCCAAACATTTCAAACTGCTTGTCTGTGCGATAATATAACCTTAAGAGTACCATGTTTCATCCACATGTTGGGGAAGTAGAATATTATCTAATGGAAGCCAAATCGCTATCTAGATTGAACATTCTGCTAGGAAGGTAGAAGACAGCCTAGAGCCCTTGTGTTCCAGCATGCTACAGGACAATTACATAATAGCAAATGGAGCAAACACTGGAACTTCTGATACAATCATCTAATTATGAGATCCTAGATTTTAAATCTTGGTGTGCAAGATGATAGAAGCAATTTTAATATCCAGAAGATTTCATTGATATTCTACTTTCATTCTGATGATTTGGCAAGTATATAACAGTGAGTGGATCTAATTAATCATTTTAACACTGCATGTCACTTATCTTACAGGTGAGAATGCCAAAATAAGAATTTTTGAGGGGTGAGGGTGGGGAGAAAGAAAGATATAAAACGGTGTTCAAAAGAGAGGGCTATATCATCAGGCAGCCTAAATTTAAAATCCAAGGGACTTATATAATTTTCTTAACCTTTTTAAATCTCAGTTCTCTCCTTTATAAAATGTGGATAAGTCTCACACCTGCTGTAAACATGACATGATGAATACAGAACATATAATCCATGTGACTTTTACTAGAAAACGGTAATTCGGTCAAAATCCGAAGCCTTATGGGGGCTACAAATTCTAAATCAAAATAAAACCTCTATAGCTTAAGCCAATGTGTAAATTATCCCAAACTACTGACCAGCATTACATACTATGTTGGTAAAATATGGACCAGGAGCAGCAGTAGAATACTAACAAGCAGTAGTGTTAGTACTAATAGTGGAAAGAGGAGAGGTGGTAACAAATGATATTTACTACTTTCATTTCATTTAGAAAGTTTTCAAGTGATGATAGGAAATAAGAAATAAGCTTATTATTGAAACCATGTGGGTCATACTTCACTGGAAGTTTGAGAACTGTTATCTCCGGTGTCTGAAAACTGGATGGAAGTTGGCCTTAATGACTTTCACAATCCTTTATAATAGAAAAAATATATTCATTTATTCTAGCCATCTAAAGCTTAAGCTTTACATCTTCTGTATACTACCTCCTTTTGCCTTTCACAAATAGTATGTGACAAAGGCACACAAAGTCTTCCTTACTTGGAAGGAATCCTCTTTTCTGTACCTGCACCTTCTATTAGGACTTGGAAGCAATAACGGTTCAGATCACCACACCCATGCTACTTAAGCACATGTGGCTATTCTTAGGAGTAGAGGTGACCTAGTCCAAAGTAAGATAGTTCCAGATCCTCAGCTTTCTGAAAGGAACAAACTCTATGTCAAAACAATTGATAAAACCTCCACGATTTCAGCAGATGTATAAATTATCCAAAACCATTGACCAGTAATTACATTTATATTTGAAGAACAGATTGGATGATATTCAGAATCCATATGAAACTGACATCTGCTTCAGTGTAAAAGAACAAGCAATATGGAATCAGAATTTTAATTCCATTTGCTGAAAGCTGCAATACCAAGGAATGTCCACAAGATCTTTTTTCAATGGACAAAAAGTTAGTGACTGCCTTCATGAAAATGTACATTTATAATCTTCTAACATTTTTATTTTTTAAAGATTTTATTTGAGAGTGAGCAAAAGAGAGAGAGGGAAAGAGAGAGAGCACAAGCACAGAGGGAGAGGGAGAAGCAGACTCCTGCTGCACAGAGACACCCCCCCACCCCCAATGTGGGGCTCAATAACCAGGACCCTGAGATCATGACCTGAGCTGAAGGCAGACACTTAACAGACTGAGCCACAGGTGCTCCTTCTAACTTCTTTTAAATAGCCAAAGGTTTTCCTTGGATTATATTAGTTTCAAATAATCACAAACTGTAACTACTAGCTTAACAATATGAGAAGTGCAAATATTCACAGGTACTACCTGGGCACTCTGATAAAATTAAACGGATCCAAATGTCAATCATCAAGGGCTGCAACTAGATTTAAATCACGTTGAAAATATGACAAACACTAATGCCATTTATCCTAATGTTACTGATTAAGATGTCATAATATTTTTGATGCCATTAATCAATTCCTTCAATGAGCCATCTAAACGGTATAACAAATAGGAATGGATAGCTATTTGACCATTTTACTCTTCAATTTAGATAGCAAGCCAACTATCCAGTTTTTCAAAATCAATATTAATACACTTACAAAATTATTCAAAATTGGTAAAGTCTCCAGAAAGGTAACAGGAAGGCAACTGAAGTACTATGTGCTGAGTCATGATAAGAAATATGTAATAAATGTTCTAAGAAATTAATCAGTGTGTTAGTTGATACTGGTCATTACCAAGTGATTGGACATAGCAGTGTCACTTCTCTGCAGGAGTCTATAATGGCCAATTTTTCAGCTTCTCTTCCCACTGCCACAACCACCAGCAATGCTTATGATGGTGGACACCTCAGAAACTTGGAATGCTGGGTGAAGAGGCTTGGAGCAAATCCCCTCCCCACCCCTAGCCAATTTGTAATGGACACATAGCAAGAAATGAACATTTGATGTTAAAAGTCGTTAAGATTTTGGAACTGAGACTAATTACAATGTAAATTAGCCTACTCTGACTGGTTCAACCAGAGACAATGCCTGATAATAGCAGACTCTTGTGAACTTTTAACCAGATTAAAAAAACAAAAACAAACAGCAAAATAAAACAGGAATATAATTGAATATTAGACCTATTTTTGCTGAAATACTACTGAAAAGCTATTCCACCTTCACTGATTCTCACAATTTTAAATCAGAAAACTCTGAATCATTCAAAATTCCCCAGGCACTGTAATGATGTTAGAGGATCTGTAACAGTCTAGTTGGGATAGTATTTGGGTTGCTTTCTGTTGTGACTTGCTTTCTGGGAAAAAAAAAAAAATTATTTAAGAAACTATCTCAGATAACAGATATTGCTGGCAGGGATATAGTGAAAGGAGTCCTTTCCTATGTTGACTGTGAAAACAAAGTGGTATGCCCATATGGGAAAGCAATATGACAACTGAAAACAAAACACAGTCCATCTCATCAATCCCAAACCCGGGACCTCACCTTGTAGGGGGAAAAAAAAAGCACCAATATGTAGAAAATGCTGATGCATGATATTTATTTCAACAGTGTTTATGATGGCCAAAAAGAAGAGTCGAAGTGAAAATCCATCAGAGCAAATGCCTGGATGGATTATGATTCATCTACATCATGTTATAACATCAAGGCTTTGTGGAAAACAAAGTAGTGTTACATGAATTGACATGGAGGAGTTTCACTGAGATATTGTTAAGGGACAAAGACACAAAACAAAAAATTATTTCATGCACTAAATAATTACAATACTAATACAAACTTATACCAGCAGGAATCTCACCAACAGATACACATTGGTCATTGTCTGTTGGTTGTCAGCTCCATGCCTGCCCCTATATAGTCTTTGATTACTGTGGGCTATTAGAAGCCCAAAATTCACATATCCCAGACTCTCTTGTAAACTAGTCTTCTCAGCTTGTTTGCTAGATGGGTTCTAGTTACTCTCTGAAAAAAGGAGAGAGTTCGTAGTTAGGAATTGAAGGCATTTGCCTTTGGCAGTTGATCTAGCCAACTTCAGCCATAGTGGTTCAGCGATAGTTTATAATATTTACAAATATTATAAATATATATGTATGTTTAAAACCATGAGAAATTATAGGGATACATATTTACATATGTACTGTATATATATACAAATGTATACATTCACATAAATATATGTATGTATGACTGTGACTCTGGAAGGATATATGCTAGCCTTTTAATATGGTTGTATATATTGGAAGGTGGATATACAGTGAGAGAGAGGAATAAAAAATAGGTAATCAAACAGAAAAGACTGGGAAAATATGCTAAAAAGACTTGACTACATTTGTACATGTATATAAATTATACAGGTCAGTATATGTATA